CCCCAAAACCCCAAAACCCCAAAACCCCAAAACCCCTCATTAAGCCACATTATTGAAATTAATTGGAAAGATTATAAATATAATTCAATGAGCGTTAAACCATCCAATTTGGCCACTAGTGGACCAGAAGGCAGCAAAAGAGCAGCCATGAACTCAAAAATAAAGCTAGCAATTTCCAGTTTTAAACAGTACGAAGAGACCAGCGAGGACTGTGGGGATAATAGTACCAAGTCTGGCTCAGTCCAGACCATCAAGTCCAAGTTCAGCAGTCGTATTACTGTGAAGCATAAGGAGGATGACTCTAACAACTTCCAGATCAACTTAATAAATCTGTCACCTAGTGCTACTAAAAACAACGAATTCTCGTTTGATAATTCCCAGCTTGAAAAATTAAGAAAAGGGATAGCTGAAGGTAAGGCGAACTGGTAATCGACCCTCCGATTCTTTGCTGACATAACCAGCCCCGGCTTATCTACTTATTTAAAAATTGAATGTTGTAACTTCATTTCGGTGTGGAATTTAGTACTTAACAACTTTTATAGGGGATAACAGCAGAAGGAGACATTCCCCGAAGAAAAGTCCGACAGCAGGCATTGACAAAGGTAAGAAATTTTGACAGCAAATTTTCTCCCTTCGGACATCTTATTTACCGAAAATATAGATCGCGCTTATCACAAGGATTTCTTGATCGCAGAAGGATCTTTCGGCAAGGTTTACCAGGTTACCAAGAGGGATAATGGTAAAAAGTACGCAATGAAGGTCTTGAATTCCTACTTCCTGAAGAAGGTATGCTGTTAACTTCTTAACTTAATAGTACAATAAAAGTCATGAAGCTTACATTGAGAGGCATGTACTTTCAAATTGTAGACATCCTAACATTGTCAAGTTCAGTAAATGCCACAAGGCAGGCGAGTCTCTATGTTTTATCCTAGAGCTTTGTCAAAATGGCTCTTTGGATGACTACCTTGAGAAAGAGCATCCTGTAAATCAAGAAGCTATCAAATTCTTTGCAGCAGGGATCTTGAACGGACTTGAATATTTACATAGCAAGAACATCGCTCATAGAGATCTAAAACCGAGCAACATCTTGCTTGATGATAACCTTGATGTGAAGATCACTGACTTTGGGACAGCCAAAATCTTTAACTGCGAAGATGAACGTGTGACCAGAGCATTGGACAAACGAGCTAAAAGAGAAGAATCAAGGTCTAATTCTCCAAGGAAGAAGAACAGTTTTGTTGGAACAAATGAGTATCTGTCTCCAGAAGTCCTTCATGGACATGCTCCATCATGTGCTATTGATTTATGGAGCCTTGGAGTCATCATATTCAGAATGTATACAGGGAATACTCCATTTTGATCAAGTAATGAAATGGACACTTATGAAAATATTCTTAGTGGCAAATTTTCAAGACATGAGTCAATCCCAGAAGACGCCTGGAGTTTAATAAAATCTCTTTTGCAGGTAGACCCAAGGAAACGTCTCGGCTGCTCTGATATCATGAATGATATTAAATTTGAAGTCATTAAGTCCCACCCATTTTTCGGAACAATCGATTTTACAAACTTGAAGCTAAACATCTTAGAAGAGGAAAAGAGTGAAGTTGAAGCTTCTTCAGAGTTAGAAATCCCTGATGTTCTCCTCAAAGGCAGAAAAGCGGTGAAATCATTCGCAGTTCCTTGTCAAATTGTGGAAGAGGATGATGACCAAGAGGATCTTTGTATTGATGCATTTACTGATGAAATAAAGGGCATGAAGAGAAATCCAAGAGCTTTCGAAAGTTTCAACCTCATTCCAACTCTTGAAAATTCTCCCTTTGATCTTGAGTCGATGATTCAAGAAGACCATTTCGGTAATCTCAGCAGGAAGCAATCAGTGAGACTTAAAGAGAACTCTTCAAGAGTCCCAATCCTATTTGATGAAGAATCTGATGTTGAGTTCTCTTCAACTGTAAGCTCAGCAAGTTCAGTGTTTCTATCAAAAACTTCTCGAGATAGGCATGACCATTCATAAAAGGAGTGTTGCATCCGCTCCTTTCAATTAATTTTTCTAAATATTCCCTAAAATACATTCTTGCAGTAGGAGTGTTTGCCAAAAAATGCGTGACAATAGCTTAAGAATTTATAATTTCCTTTAAAAATCTGGAAATTTTCAACACAATTTTCCCAAAAATTTTCACCTGCCGATGTATGAAAGCAAGAAATTTTTTTAAGCCGAGGCAGAGTCATGCAACTTTAAAAACTTAAAATCTTTTCCAAAATTTGGAGATCTTCCATATTTGTAGTTATGATTAATTTTTGGAGTGTTTCCTAGTAGCAAGGAAGTCATATGGATCAACTAGAGTCTAATATTGACAACTTATTTCGGTTTATTCCTGTTCAGTTGCCTGGAAGAAATTTAGATATTATTTGTCACAAATTTTTAAAGAAAACGAATCTTTGAAAGTAGAAATAGGTGAAGTCTTTCAGATCGAAGGAGGCTGATACAAGCCTAATTTGTTATAAAAGTTTGCATTTCAATCAGCCAGCTTGAGGACTAAAGATATGATAGCAACCTGTTATTAAAATCTACACTTTTGTTTGCTATACTTTTAGCCTACTTAAAAAATCCTGATAGGACTCGAAGTGCTCTAAACTGAGAGGATACAAGGGTATAACAAGTATATACCCGCTCGATCTGAATAGCCTTGCTTTCGGAATAATTTAATATAACCATATTCATGAATTTATTACTAGTAGACCTTCAATGAGCAATCTGTTTCTTCAAGGTTAAGATAATTCATTAAACGCCCGAAGAGCCTTAATAAATTGATTTTAATGAAATTGGATAATTTTGGAGTGTTTTTCAAAGACATAGTCTAACAAAATTTTCTCATTGCTCTGATCTGGGTCTTGGTAGCAACAGAAGTATAATAGGAAGGAGGAGTAAGTATTTTCGAATTAATATAAAGCCAATAATTGCCTTCCAAATATTTGATGAGATCTCATTTTTGAGAAATGTATATGTCATTCTGAGTCATATGGCTAAACTAGCTAAACAAATTTGCTTTTATACTCTTAAAAAACAGACTTAAGAAGTCTACTAAGCATGTATCCTGTTTAAGCAGGGACATTCATCTTGATCGACAAGAATAGAAGCTCAACTTTTAAATAAATATAAGGGGTTTTGGGGTTTTGGGGTTTTGGGGTTTTGGGGTTTTGGGG